ACACACACAAAACAGGCTTGTCTTAGGTGGGTGAAAGGGTTAACCTATTAAGCCGCTGCCACTCAGCTCAGAGCAGCCAATGGAGTTGAAAGATTGATTCACTTCCTGCTTGGGTCTCACCTAAACTCCTGAGCTTCGCTGGCCTAATTTGGAAAGTAAGCCCAGCCTCCCCTTCAGTTATTGGCCAAACCCACGGCAGTCCAGGTCAAAACGCACTGCGATTGGCCACAGCGGGTGCCAGTAACCAGCGTTCAAGACTTTGGCTCCCCAGCACCATAGATGTCAAAGGCTGAAGCTGCTCCCTTTGCCACATTATAACTAGTAGGGGAGCCTCACCGGCCATGGCCACAGCTGCCTCGAATCCCTACAGCATTCTCAGTTCCAGCTCCCTGGTCCATGCAGACTCTGCGGGCATGCAGCAGGGGAGTCCTTTCCGTAACCCTCAGAAACTTCTCCAAAGTGAATACTTACAGGGAGTTCCCAGCAATGGGCATCCTCTCGGGCATCACTGGATGACCAGTCTAAGCGATGGGGGCCCGTGGTCATCCACGCTGGCCACCAGCCAACTGGACCAACAGGACGTGAAGCCCGGGCGCGAAGACTTACAATTGGGTTCGATAATCCATCACCGCTCGCCTCATGTCGCCCACCACTCACCGCACACTAACCATCCAAACGCCTGGGGGGCTAGCCCGACCGCAAACCCATCCATAACATCGAGTGGTCAACCTCTCAACGTTTACTCGCAATCAGGCTTCACCGTAAGCGGCATGCTGGAGCACGGGGCGCTCACCCCACCACCGGCCGCTACCTCCGCACAGAACCTACACCCTGTGCTCCGGGAGCCCCCAGAACACGGCGACTTGGGTTCTCACCACTGTCAGGACCATTCAGACGAAGAGACACCAACCTCGGATGAGTTGGAACAGTTCGCCAAACAGTTCAAACAAAGACGAATCAAGTTGGGGTTCACGCAGGCAGACGTTGGACTTGCGCTAGGCACCCTGTACGGCAACGTGTTCTCGCAGACCACCATCTGCAGGTTCGAGGCCTTGCAACTAAGCTTCAAAAACATGTGCAAGCTGAAGCCACTGCTGAACAAGTGGCTGGAGGAGGCCGATTCGTCCACTGGTAGCCCAACCAGTATTGATAAGATCGCTGCACAGGGCCGCAAGCGCAAGAAGCGAACCTCCATCGAGGTGAGTGTCAAGGGCGTACTGGAAACGCATTTCCTCAAGTGCCCCAAGCCTGCCGCGCAGGAGATCTCCTCTCTGGCAGACAGCCTCCAGTTGGAGAAAGAAGTGGTGCGTGTCTGGTTCTGTAATCGAAGACAAAAAGAGAAAAGAATGACTCCGCCAGGGGATCAGCAGCCGCATGAGGTTTATGCGCACACCATGAAAACAGACACGTCTTGCCACGATCTCTGACTGGAGGAGGGGAGAAAGCTGCCAGCAGCCCTGGGAGAAGTGCAGATTTCTCTTTCTCTCTCAGTCTTCCTTTTGCTCTAGCTTTTTTTTTATTATTATTATTTTTATGATCGTTACATAGCTCTCTCTCTCTCATGCTTTTTCCTTCCTTCCTTCCTTCCTCCCTCCCTTCCCCCCTCCCTCCCTCCCTTCCTTCCTTTCTTCCTTCTTTCATTCCTTCACAAAAAAAGAAAAAAAATAATTAAACAGTGGGTTCTAACTTATGATGAGAGAAGAAATACATCCACATAAGTGTTTAGGCTTAGCCTATGCTGATACACAGTTACACAGTTGCATTAAGCAGTCCTGGCTGGGACCTCCTATTCCCTGCTGCAAGAGTCCCTCCAACCTTTTCCGCTGATCAATACACATTGTTTACTCCTAGTAAGGTTGTTTGGTCGCTGCTCTCTAGAAGGAGCAAGAGTGGGGTAAGGTGGGGGCGGGATGGGGGTGGGAAGACAGATGTGTGCCTCTGAATAACCTTTCAGCGCCTTGGTTATAGCAGCTGTATTTCAGGTGAAATCTGTTTTACAATAGATAGTTTTGCATTTTTTAAATCTTCTATAGCATTTCTATATGTCTGCAGTGTTTTACTACAAGCTGTACACAATATTTGTGACATAATTTGTAGCTAATCGACCACTCCACATTATTACTATTATTAGTCCGTTGAACTGATGATTTTTTCATTGCTTAGAAAAGGTAAGCGAAGTTGGGAGGAGATGGAGATGTCCACCTCAATCCCCCACCTCCCACCCCTATCCCAAATTATGTAGAGGAGAAGATACAATGGAGTGAGTTGTTGATTATATTGTTTCTATATGGAGTCCTGGTGTGGCGATATATATATATATATATATATATTATTCCCCACTCCCAGAATCGGAGTGCCTAGGATGGGTAGAGAGAGAAGGCAAGCCAGAAGCAGGTTCGGCTTGTAAACTAGTGCAAAGCAGGAGAAGCAGTTAAGCAGTTTTCTGCCCTTCCTCCCGGGATTGTGGAGCCTCCTAAATTTTCCACAGCACAGATTTGGGTGCCTGAGAAGGATTCTTTGGCAGCGCTGGATGAAAGAGTTCTGTGGAAGAGGCGATGAGGATGCAGCACCCTGCCGAGTCAGGGATGGCTGTTCTCAGAGATTTCCTCAGGCCCTGAGCTTTGCCAGGCAGGTGGCCTGCTTGAACTCATCTCTACTCTTCTTGGTGAAAGAATTTGCTTTCACAAACGACTGCTTTCATTGGAGAGGATGACCCCAAAGAAGCTGGCGACAGATAGAGCCAGCGCCTTCCAGTTTGGTTCTCCTCCAGTTCACCGCCTGCTCTTGAAATGAGAAATCCTCTTGGCTAGGAGGTGAAGGGTGGGGGACAGGCACTTACTACTTACTCAGTGTAGACAACAATTAATTGATTGACAAAGATAGCAGGAATTCTGATCAGACGCTTAGCACCTTCTCTCCGGTGTGTATACCACTGTCGGTGTTTGATTCAGGGGAAGTCGTCTCCTTGTCACTGAAAAGCACAGCCAGTGGAGCCCACCGTGAGGATCCAGCAAGCTAGGGAGTGGAGTGCCCAGGCAGCTGGGTTTCTGCCTTTTTTTTTTTTTTTAAATCTCTGTGTATGAGTCTCTCTTGTGTGTACATACGTGTGCGTGCAAACGTGTGTGTGTGTAGATAGTTCTGTGTATCTTATTACTATATACAAAAAGCAAAAACTGTAAAATAATATATATCTAGGCTGTGTAGATATCCCAAAAATATGCAGTTGCTGTGATTTAATTGCTAACTCTCCTATCCACATGCCAATTTTACAGGAGCACCTCATTCTCAGCAAGCACACATGTGCCGGGCAGACTAAGCACCCAATACCCAGCCACTGCCCACCAGAACCGGCTGGGGGCACAGCACACCAGGGCTAGCAGATAGGCCCTCCCTCCAAGTGCTGCAGTGTTAGACAATGCCCCAAACTACTTAAGGACCAGAAAGCCTAGGGTAGGCCTAGGGTAAGCCCCTTATCTGTGATGCCCTAAGTTGGGCTGCTGGGCCTCTCTGGTAGGTCCACTACACTGTGTTGCCCCCAGCTACAGGTCGAAAATCAGTGTTAATTCAAATCCTAAAACTTTTTTTCTTTTTTGTCAAGCTTTTGAATTCTGTTCATAGTTAAATCTTGCGTCTAATTTTTTTGTTGTTGTTTTTCCTTCCTTTTTCCCACATTGAGTTCATGTTCTGCAACCGCTTAGGAGTTTGTTTGTTTGTTTGTTTCTAGTGGTCGTTGTTTGTTTTATTATTTTTTATTTTTCTGTTTTCTTTGCAGTTAAACACTATGGTTCAAACCTGAGTTAACCCAAATATTTCTGCCGACTTTATAATTGTACAGTTTTGTATATTAAACGTTTTTGAAGTTATTAATTTAAAGAAAGATCATTTAGTTTATTCATTTAGTAACTGATGTATAATGAATGCTATTTTCATTAAGAGTTGCTTTTTCAACTATTTTATTCAAATTGCCTATTGCCGTTGCCAACAATTATTTATTTTCAATAAATTCTGTGTCATCTTAAAAGGAAACTTTCAAAGATGAGTTGGGTGTGAAAAAGAAAAAAAAAATCCACTGTAATGTCTGATGTGAACGATTTTAGTCAAGGAGTTTATATTGACACAATATTTTATTGTTGTAAAAGATTTAAAAGGTTTAAATAAAACATTTTTCCAAAAAAATGTTTTTCTCTTGGCGTTATTGTATGGTTTGTGAAGTGGACTGTTTAAACAGAGAAACATGTTCCTGGTGAGCAGCTTGTCTACTTTGCTTTGATTTCGGTTTAGAAATCATTACTCATTTTTTTGATCCTTTATTCTCTCCCTCTGACTTTTGGCTTCTCAGTTCAGCACTGAAATTCACTCTCATGAATACCATGGTCTGCTATCATACCCACAATCACACTCACCTAAAATAGAGTACAAAAGATGGGAAAGGGTTTGAGGAAGACTTCAGGGCTGGGATAGTCATTGGTGGAGGTGCGATCATAATGTCCTCTCAAAAAAGTATATCTGTCTTTCAGTCCTCTCTTAACACTGTCCCCAGACCTTCCCTGAAGCTTTAATTTCGCCTCCCTACATCCAACCATCTCCTTACTCTTTCTCAAAGGATGCCCTTCTGCTAGGTGAGGGGTGGAAAGATGATTGTACATAAGGATAAATGCTTTCCTGTTTAAGGCTCTCCCTGGGTCCAGAACCCTGGAAGAGCTGTTTGTTTGCCCAGCAATGCTAAATTATGTCCTTTCTTGTATACCTTTTTTTAGAGGACAAAAAGGATTACAGGGAGATATGTAGGAAAGAAGTTTGATTTATAACATCCCCTTCCTACCTCCACGTACCATTTTACTTGCATTATTTTTTTCTTAAGACCTTTGATAAAATAAGGAAGAGTTACCTGTACCTGTAGAGTAGCTTAGGGATGAGTTACCAAAAGAGTAGCAGTTATGTTTCAAAGCTGTTTAAAACTTTTTGAGGTGGTAGATACCTAACAAGCAATAAACAAGAAATTACACTATGATTTTCCAGCTGTGTAATCCTCCTCAATTCAGAGTCTGAAATAGGTGTGCTTGTTTTGTTTTGTGTTGTTCTTTCTGTTAGCCAAAAGTAAAATTATTTAATCATTTTAATTGGTAATGATTATGACATGTAATGTCTTGCATTTTTTGAGTTGCCTAATCATTTGCAGCTGCATACTTCACCATACATATGTGAGTTTTTCATATGGAATATGTCACATTTTGTATGTTCATGGGTATGTCTCTCTTAATAAATAATACTGATTTTATGTATATGCAACTATAAGCACATAACCCATAGTCTTATTACTGCTGTTCTCTTTTGACTAGTACTAATATGACTTACTATCCTGTTGTTGTTACTGTTGTTAAATGCCATCAAGTTGGTTAAAATTAATAGGAGTCCTTGTGTGGCGCTATGGGTTAATGAGCTAGACTACAAGTCAGTTTGAACCTCAAGGTTAGTGGTTCAAGCTCACCAGCTGCTCCTTGGGAACTCTATACAGGGTCACTATGGATTGGGACCTGACTCGACAGCACTTAACTACAAAAAACAAAATAAGGTTTTCAAGGAGCAGCTGTTGAATTTGAACTATCCATCTTATAGTTAGCAGTCTGGTGCATATCTTATGGAACCACAACAAGACCCCTGGAAAAAAATGTTAAATAGATTTTAAAATTATAATTTTCTTAGAAAGGCACACAGAAGTCAACTTGCAATGTATTTTGAACTCGTTCATAAAACCACAAGCAAATATTTTATTAAATACTTATGTATATTTAGATAGATATTTATGTCTGTATTTTTACAGAAACATTTTACTGATGTATATATTTTATACATATTTATAAGATTTTTTTTTCTTTTCCTGTCTCTTTTCTTTCTATTAAAATATTACCAAACCTTACTGGATGTTATGCTGAGCTTCTTATCAAATTTTTACTGTCATTAATATATCATTTCATTAAAAGTCAGGGGCCATTAATGCTTGCCCAGAGGGTTTCTTTGTTTTGAGGTTTCTGCCAGCCCCAAGCAGAACCAAGTCTTTGCAAGAGAAACATATTTGACCTCAGCTTTCCTTAGTGTCTCTTACAACTGTGACTTTCTCCCCTGTGAAAAAGAATTGGTGCTTTCAAATGGAACAATAACAGTTAATCATATCTAATGAGGTAAAAGCAAAAGAAGCATTTGATCAGAGCAATAGAAAATGCAAAGATTGTGGAATGAGGATGTGAACAGAGCCAGTGTACAGGTTCTTCAGGTATGTAAACAAAGTTCAATATGCAAGTCAAGAATGCACATATATGGAAAATATCATTTGGTTTTCTACATGGCTGTAGCTCACTACATACATAATAAATTACAGCACTTACCTTTGCAACAATAAAAGAAGATCTATTTTATTCCTGGTAATTGGGGAAAACCATAGCCTAGAGTAGTACATGAGTTTTGATTGTCTTTAATAAAATAAAACACTGTTTGTTTGTTTGTTTGTTTGTTTAGCATTTAAATAGTTCCTTTGTTTCTAAGCCATATTACTGTTGTTGTTTTAATTGCCTGGAGACTATAAGTAGATACATTATTATA